TTTTAGCCTATTTTTAATTTAATGTCCTTTAAGGTGGTTCTTTCATATATATATATATATATATATATTAGCTATTGTCTTAAATAGCTGGCTAAATTTAATAGAAGGAATTAATTTCTTATCATACAGTGAACCAAAATTTAAATTCTCATTAGAATAGGAGGGCATTTAGTTTGCTGTGCCTAAAAAATGATGAATAAAAATATGTATTGTTTTAAAAAAGATATTTGCTTTTATTCTTAATAAAAATCTAGATGGGTGGGTGCTTTTGTTGAAAACGACAACCTCGAACAGTTGTCCTAAAATACATCCACTATAATAATCATTCTAAAAGGATCTTGGGGCAAACATCAAATTTGGTTTTTGTCGTGCGCAATCTCACTTCTGGAGGCGTTGTAATTTTAAGTTATAAGTGCATAAATATTCTAAGAAAAATAATAATAAAATCTATTTAACTTATTTAATTGACAGATTGATCTCTCCAAATAGTATAATTTCTTGGAGTTTTTGGGATCTTTTTGTCATTAGAGAATAAAAAAAAGATCAAATTACCCTCAAAGTAAACAAAAATTTTAATCCTCACTGAAGAAAAATTCACGCGCGTTATAGGTTTTGCTTCATCCTGTTCATGTTCTCATCTTCTTCTCTCTTTCATGGTATTCTTCCGGTCCATCTCCCTCTCCTTCTCTGACCCTTCTCCTTCTTCTTCTTCTCGTTCTTGTGTTCCTTTTTTTTTAGTTTTCATACATGAGTTGTTTGTTTTGTTTCGCTATTATACGTGGGTATATATAAGCAAACATTCTTACTCTATTGTGTCTGATGTATGTGGGTCAATTTTCTTCCTCCTTGAAATTTTCTCCTCCCGTTTGCGATAATTGAAGTTGACATGGATTATTGCGTTTTGAAGTCTTCATTTTCTCTTCATGCTTAAAGTTGAAAAACGTGGGTACTTGCTTAGCATGCATAAATGACAAATAATATATCATTTTTAATTGTGCTGTAAATGCATAAGCCAAAAGTTGTGAATAACAAATATAAAGTTGCGAATATAAGAAGAATAGATGTTGTTGGATAAAACATAACAGATATGTGATCATGATGTTTAAAAAATAGACATGTTAATGAATAACTATTTCATTGTTTCATGTTGGCATGAGAAATGGCTTCTTTTACTTCTAATTTTGAAAAGAAACTATTTTTTATTTCTATATAAGGGGACATTTTGTAAAAAATATTGAAGGTAAAATACAATATGATGAGGGGAGTGTGAGGGTGAAAATAATAAGAGAAGGGATGACACTTGAAGAATTCAGAATAATGATATCATCTTATTTTGGCATTGACACTAATTTGATTAACATGAAATATATTATGAGATATGATAAAATGATAATTCCTCTAAAGAAAGTTTCATTTGCTATAGAATAGTTGTTATTTTAGTAATTGAAGTTGTGATTGTCTATAAAAATGTAAATGAGACATGAAATTGGATGGATTGTGAATGCAAGATGGAGAAATTCTTGTTACTTTCAAATCCAAACTCCTCCTACTATTACAGATCATAATTTGGAATATGTAACCTTTGAAAGTGAGGTAGAATGTCTAACCTATCAAACTTTTGGAGAACTTCTAATGTTACCATGTGGAGTAGAAAGTTCACTTACATCGATGCTAGGGCTTAATTCTTCTAAATGGAGGAATTTATTGTCAGATATAAGGTAGGCCTTTTCCCATGTTAAAGCCTTTAGAAAAGCATTGTACAAATATAGCATTGTCCATAAGTTTCTATACAAATATAAGAATAATATTACAAAGAAGATGAGAGTAAAATGTGACATTAAAGGCTGCCCTTGGAAGATCACTACATATGCAGTGGGAAAGGAAACTTCATTTTTACATGTGAAGAAGTTTAAAAATGAGCACATACATTATGACAACAACTGTTTGATTTAATTGAATGATTATACAAAATGTTTTTATATGATACTTAGAAAGCACCAAACATCAAATTTTTAAAGGCAATAATATATATGAAAAATGTTATGAATATGAAAGTTGTTTTGAATTTTTTAAGAAAATATATTTTAATAAATTTTTAAATATTATTAAATATCTAATAACTATAATTAAAATCTTCATTGAATGAATATATTTAGGTCATTCCATCATCGAAATTTGGAGCATTTAAGATTTAAGATATGTTAAGAGTGAGGAACACTGACGCAGGAGATAAGGCAGCAAGCAGCTGATCCTTTTGAAAGGGTGTATATGGGGCCGCGAGGATATGGATTTGGAAAATGAGAATTAAAGACCTCTTAAGGTAATTAATTTTAATTAAAAATCATAAGACATTAAAATTTTAATTGAGGACTGTGGCCCTTACTTAAAATTAAAAACATATAAAACTTTATAAACTTTACTAAACACTAAAATATACACAACACTATTAAAATTACTATCGTGGTGTGAGTATATTGTGTCAGTTGAAAAAATGAACCACAATTGAGAATAAATTATGTCTTAGTATGAAAAAAAATTCACTTTTAAAATATTTTAAGGTCACTTATGAATATACAAAAGTGACTTGAGAATTTACTATTTTTACTTAGTTTTTCTTGAGGGGCATTTAAGATAATTTACATTTTTTTAAAATTTCAAATAAGGATTATGGTTCTTAATTGACATTTTAATATTTTATAGTTCTCAATTGACATTAATGACTTTAGAGGGTCCTTAATTGTCATTTTCCCTGGATTTTTTGATAGGATCAAATCAGATTTTTTTTTAATAAATTATCAAATCAGAATTTTATCATCAATTAAACTCTCAAATTGATCAGTACCCATCATAGAAAATTAATTTAATTTAAAGAAGGAGTAAATATTGGCTTGATAGTTTTTATACAAATGATCATATTTCTTATCCCTAGTACATGTTTTTATGTTTAGAATATAAAAATAAATGCAATCAAAAAATGAATATATAAATAAAAATTAATTTATTTGATTTTAGAATTAGTTATGATTAGTTATACTCAAATAAAACAATTTATTTTATCCTATAAACAAAAAATTTGTTTATTCTTCTATAAATTACTTTAGAATTTGTTATGCCATGCATATTTAAGTTATAAAAAAAATTATTATTTCAAGATATATTATCCTTGGATAAAATTAAAATGTAAAATGACGAGTTCTAGTTTATAATTTATTACAGCTCTTTTTTTTAATGTCCATATTAAAAATATAAATAAAATTTTATTTTATTCCAAAATCTTTCACCCCATACAAATTGAAATCTATGTAGCAACTTCTTATCATTTACATGCGTTACTCTCGTGAATATTAAAATGTTAAACAATATATTTATTTTTAAATTTATTATCCAATACATCTCATGTATTAGAAATTATTTTTAATAACAACTTATTAATTATCTTTTACTGTTTGTTTTGAAAGAATGAGAGGGCGCACTATTATCTTGTACTGTTTGTAAGTCTCATGAATAATAACTAAATACATCAATTTTTTATTTCACAATTTATGATCTATCTATATATATATATATATAGTTCCTTCGTTAAAAGATGTAAAGCATTTGTTAGATGTTAAAAAATATAAGGCATTTAGTCTTTTAAGATAGAATCATTATCTTTTTTTTTTAAAGTACCTTTATTGATAATGACTTTATATTTACTATAGAATGTTTAATAAGAATAAAAAGATAAAATTAGTTTGAAAGTAGGTAATCACTTTATTAACGGGTGAGATTTAATTAAAAATGTTTAATATTTTTTAATAAAGGGAGTATGTTAAAAGCACAAAGAATTTACATACCTATCTTTTTATAATTTGTGTAATTTTAGAAATTGATTTTCACATATCCACCATTTTTTTTACTATAGATTCTATGCGTAATTTTTTTTTTCCAACTATGTGAACTTCGCTTGCTGTTTACATGTATAAGTACAAAAATAAAAAATAAAACTCACTTGGCTTGTGTAACTACAGTACCCAATAATGACGGAATATTCAGTGACAGAGACATATATATATATATATCTATATAGGAAAATACGTTGAACCTGAGGTGTGAAGCACTACCGCAGAGAACAGCAATTGATTCTTTTTCAATTTTTCAGGGTTGAATGATAAATTTACATGCAAATTATAAATTTAAAAACATTTAAAATCCTAAACTTATTATTAATATACTTTTTTTAATATTTTAAAATGATAAAATATAATTTTTATTATTAATAAATATTAACTTTGTTCATTAATTGATAAAAAAATTATAAAAATAGACTTAAAAATTACAAAAAAATTAATATAATTACACAAAAGAACCCTATACAAAAATTAATATGATAAATTCATTTTTTATAGTTTTTTTAATTTTTTTATAATTTTTTAGTCATCTAATGATGAAAGTTAATATTTATTAACAACAAAGATAATATTCTATTGTTTTAAAATATTAAAATAGAACACCGCACAAAAATGACTTTAAGATTATAGACATGTCTGAATTTATAGTTTGATAAAAAATTTTCCTTTTAATTCTTTTATTTTTTTTAAATGATAGAAGAATTCTTGCCACTAGTATATTTGTAAGGATTATTTAAATTTGGAGGTATGTCTAATGTTGATAGGTCCATGAAACTCAACTCATCTTCACTTCTTATAATATAAATAAAACCGATCATTTGGTCAGTATTACTTTAAGAAATAAAAGTTAACAAAAGAATACCATCTTTTGTATACAACTTTATTCAAAAGATCAGAATCATTTAGTTAAAGTTTTGAAACAATAAAAATCGAATTAATAACAATTAAAATACAAGGACTAACTTGCAATTCACATGAAATTTTGAGGACCACAAGCATTGTTTTTATTGAAAATAACAACAATAATAACCTACCAAATAATTTTCTTAAGAATTATTTTTTCCTATAAATATATATCCCATTCCATGCAATATTTCATCCCAAGACGCAAGCACAACGCACCCTATTAGCTGTCTCTCTCTGTCTTAGCTTTCTCTCACCGTCTCAACTATCAACAGCCGGTGGCACGGCCGTTTCTGGCGGTGAAAGCGGCGGCGACAGAGACGATCAATGAGGGACACAAGCGAGGTGGTGGATCGGCTTAAACCAGCCATACTTATGGCGATGGTTCAGCTATTTTTCGTCGGGGTAGGCACTCTTTACAAAATCGTCGTCTACGACGGCATGAACTTGAGAATTGTGATAGCTTATCGTTTTGTTTTCGCCACTGCTTTCATGGCTCCTCTTGCTTTCATCTTCGAAAGGTAATTCTCAGACTTCTGCGTCAAGAATGATCCATGAACTCTCGATCATCATTAAGCTTAGTGTTGAGATTGAGATGATAAGCATCTTCTTTCTCATCGAACTTGTGTCATACGTACATTACATAGTGTGTTTTGGTATTAATTAGTCTTTTTGTTTTTTTTTTCCTTCCTCTGTTCCTAGCCTGTTAATAAGTTTTATCTATCTATAATATTAGTTTTTATATTTTTAAATATGATTATAAAGACTTTATGATGACTAATGTGTACATTAACCTTGTTACTTTTTATGGTGGATTATTAAAGTTACGTTGAATTGTATGAAAAATAAGTAGAAGGAAATCAAGCGGGGGATTAAATTAAAATCTTTAAACGCTTGATAGACAAAAATTTAGAAGAAAGAAGACAAAACAACCAGGGAAAAAATTAAAGACAAAAATGTTAGGGTAGGGGCAGAATCAAAGCTATAAGTGTGGGGGTCAATTTTATATGGCTAAACTTGTTATTTGATTTTTTAACCATTTATTATTAATATATTTTTAAAATAATTTTAATGATAATGAAATTTTTCTTCCCCAATTTTATTTTAATTATTGATTTAGTTTCTGAGATTTTAACTCTATCAATCTCTTTAAAATTTTATAACCATACTCCTTATTTTCTAAATGAGAATAACAAAATAAGAATTAATTGTATATAATTATGAGATTTTAAATATTTGGTTGATAGAGTTTAAATTTGACGAACTAAATCAATAACTAAGACAAATATAAGTGGTTAAAAGTTTTATTATACTGTAATTTTATAATTGGAGAAATTATTCAAGATTAAAAATAATCAAATTTTTTTTAAATAATACATAAAAATACATTTTCATAATTTAGGAGAATGGTGATGGTGAAAATTAAAGGAAATTAGTAATTTATTCACATTTTTACTTACTATTACATGTATATAGGTAAAGAGAGATGAATATAGGTAATTAAGTACTTATTATTCTTAAACTGTAAAGAGGTGACGTGCAAGTGGAAGAGAAATAATAGAAAAAGTAGAGAAAGAAAAGCACAGTTAACAAAGATAAGGGGCTTTTGCTCAAAAAAAAAAAAAAAACAAAGATAAGGGGCAAAGTCAAAAAGTAAAAAGAAATGAGAGAGGGCAAGGTAGTAATTTTCTTCTTTTCTCTAAATTCTCCCTCTCAAGTCTCAATCTCATGAGTTAGTGATTTAACTTTTTGTTAGTGATTAAAGTTGCAGGCCGAGATGAAACGTAAGAGATTAGCAGCAGCAAAAAAAGTATAAGGATTAATACCAACACATGCTAAAAATATTAGAACTAATAATTATATTTTTTCAAAATAAATTGATACTCATGAATGGTGAAGCGAATTAAATTTTTTATATTTTGTATAGATTCACAGTAGTGTTGAGTTTCAAAGATGCTTATTATGAGTTGTTTGCAGGAGGAAGAGGCCAAAGATGACGTGGACTATACTCTTTCAGGGACTTTTGTGTGGCTTATTTGGGTATTAATTCAAATCAACATTATTTTAGTTTCAACGCATTAATTTTGGTATATATGTACATTGTCATCTAATTTTGGTCACTGTTAGATCACGACATGCTTCCCTACTTTTTAGTATTATAAGGCAATTTTAATCGGATTATATACCTTACAATGATTTAATCAATTATCTTAAAATTACACATTCTTTCTATTTATTTTACCCTTATTTAATAAAATCTCTCAATTAAAAATATTATTAATTTTTTTGACAAAAAAACCTTATTATTTGCACCATCTAATTAAGGATATTTTTAAAAAAATCTTATTAATTATACATATTAAAAAACTCAAAATGCTTTAGCTTATATTTTTAAACATGATACTTAAAAAAAGTATATATGCTGGAATATTACATTAAATAACAATATAATGATGTGTGTGTAAGAATATTCTGTCATAAAATATATGGATATGTATACACATATAGAAGCATATTCATCATGCTTATTAATATAACTTCCACACTGTTTATGGACTTATAATTCAGAGGGACGTTAGCGCAAACATTATTCTTGGAAGCGCTGGCTTTAACAACAGTAACGTTTGCATCGGCAATGGGCAATCTCGTTCCAGCCGCCACCTTTGTCATGGCTCTCTTCTTCGGGTAAATTAGTTTTTGTCCCGTAAATGTTTTTAGTAGTGGATTAATTTTAATATCATAAATTGACAATTTCAATAAAAATATATATGAGACTTTAGAGTAATTTTGTAATTTTAAGAACTTTTTTGTATTTGGATTGTTTGTGCGGGATCTAACAGTAATTTTTTGTGTTTATTGTTCCCAAAAGTTTCACTTAATTACATAAAGTGCAAACTTTTTTTATTTTGTTTATTTGTTTGTTTTCATCATCTCTCCAATACACTTTATCAGCTTAATTGCGTGGTTGGTGGTTGTTGTTGCCGTGATCATCTTCGCTTGACTTTTGTTAGAGATTTCCTACATGGCTTCCACTAGTTTCAATTTTATATTCTTAAATATATTAAATTTCAAAATTGTTGTAAGAAATTCTAGAAAGAAACATTTAATATAAATAATTTAAAAAATTATCGTTCATGACATCAGATTTAAACTTTTGTGTCTTGGCCATGGAGTAGTCATTATATTGAACGCATTTTTAACTCTCATTCTCTCTCTCTCTAATTCTCTCAAGTCTCAACATAATGTATTATTAAAAAATTATATTATTGGCCTCTATAATTTCACCAAAATTTTGATTTCACCCTTAGTTATAACACATAAAAGCTTGAGAATCAGATCTTATATCTTAAATAATTTTTTTGCTTATTTTATCCTTATTGTAATAAATAATTATTTTATCAATAAAATTTAACAAATATTTAAAAACTTAATGACAACTAAATTATTTTTTTAATAATGAGTATTCAAGTGTAAATTATGAAAACCTTGAAATAATTAATATTGAAATATATATTTTTAATTTGAGGTCTTAAACTATAGCTTCTTCTTTTTAGAAAAATAATGATTAATAATTTGCTATAAAAAATAACTATTTTTAAATAATAAAACCTATATGTTTATGTTCAGCTTGGAAAAATTGAATTGGAAGGCCGCAGCAGGAAAAGCAAAGATCATCGGAACCGTCGCCGGAATTAGTGGGGCCATGCTTCTGACATTCTACAAAGGTCCACGAATCCCCACTCCCTCACTCCACTTCAGCCTTTTGCATCCCAACAACAGCCACGTGGCATCCTCCCACTCCTCCTCAGGCGGTGGTAATACCCTCTTAGGCGCGCTCTGTGCCTTGGGTAACGTCTTGTCGTTTGCTTCGTGGCTCATTATTCAGGTCCCGTTTTTGCTCCGACGATACATGTCGTTTCAATACTTGATGTTGTCGCTTAATCATAATTTATCGTTGTGAATTGTGATTGTGCAGAGCAAGATGAGTGAGAGATATCCATGTCCTTACACAAGCACGACGTTGATGAGTTTGTCAGCTTCAGTGTTTTCTAGTGCCTTTGCTCTTTGCACTGAAAGAGATTGGACTCTATGGAAATTGGGTTGGAATATAAGGCTCTTAACTGTGGCTTATGCGGTATGTGATTTTATTTTAATTTATAAAATCAAATACCAGTGGTTTATTTTAATTATTTAACTTATCCAGAAGTTGATGAATGATTGCTTATTTATTTTTAAAGTTTTCGGGAAGTCTAATTATTTTTAAAATAAATACATTATTTTTTAAATATAATAATAGAAACAAAAATATCCTTCTATTTGAATTTTATTATATAAAATTTTTTTAGCACAAGTTTGTAAATATTTAATAATTATTAGAGAAGTGGAACATACCTAGATTCTTCTTAATAAGTTAGCTTCAGAATTTGTCCCCCCCCCCCCCCCCCAAAAGAAAGGGTTACTTCTCAGAAAGCTTAATTTCCTCTTTCCACTAACCCTCAACCATGCAAACGTCTAACTTTTAGTACATCCAACCTCTTATTTTAAGTTCAATATGTATGATTATTATCCATTTAAATATTTTAATGTCTAAAATAGAAAGAAAAACAGTACATATGAAAATTTGTTTCATACCCGTCATGCACGTGTTTATTTCATTAACAGGTGACTTACGTTGAAGTAGAATCCAATGATCTCATACTACTCACCTTGTTGCTTGTTTTATTCTTCAGAAGTTAAAGCTTTTAGCAAGAAAAGAAACAAGTAGAGAGAATTCCATTATTTCTTAAGAAATTTAACTCTCGATTTACCTTCGACCAAACGTCCATGAATCCAATTTCCTATTTTAAGTTTTATATATATATATATATATAATGTAATTATGATCCCTTTAAATATTTTAATGTTTAACTAAAATCAAATAGTTATAATTAATGATTTGTGAGGTTAGGGATTGGTGGCATCAGGAGTGAACGTGGTGATGATAGCATGGTGTGTACGCAAAGGGGGGCCTCTGTTCGTATCAATATTCACTCCTCTCCAGCTTTTGTTTTTGGCTTTTCTTGGACCTTTCTTTATGGACGAGACGCTTCACCTGGGAAGGTATTTAATTTCTCTGCCTCTTCAATTTCTTTTCTTTTGGCTTATAATAGAGAATTGTGAGTCCATGGATGTTGCAGTATAATTGGAGGAGTGCTGATAGTCTCTGGACTCTACATGGTTTTATGGGGCAAAGCCAAAGAGATGAACAAGATGAATCTTTTGATAGCCTCAAAGTCACAGACCCTCCACGCATCATCATCCCCTTCACTTGAAATCATCGTCAAATCTCCTATTCATGATGAGAAAAGCAACCACATCAACAATATTTGTGCTTCAAATAACATTGGTAGGGATCCCCAAGATTCATCAGAAAATGGAAACCAAGCAATATTACAAGATGGGAAAGTTCAAATAGCATAGTGTCTCAGACACTTAAGAGAATATATATACACACATACATACATTGAATGGATATGATGTATAATGGGTTTAATTGATATTCTTTAACTGAAACACATGAAATATATCATATATATTTGCTAGTTGAGTAGTGATAGCGTGATGTTGTAAGTTACCATTCCAAGTCTCTCCAAAATCTTATATGGATTAATGAAATAGTGAGTAAACTTCTTCAATTTGATTGATCTTCTAATATCAGTCATTAGTATGATCCTAAAAACACATGATCTTCCACTTTAAATTCCAATGGTTTTGATCTCTTCTTATACCAACATAACTCTTTTGCCTATGTTGCAAGCAAACTTTTGTTGGATCATCTCAATCATTTGTGTATTATTTGATCTACCAAATCAATACCCAACATGTGTCTCTTAATTACTCAATTATGTTCAACACAAGGTAATTGACACATCTTACTAAATCCTTATATGGTTATTTAAATGTTTGAGTGATAATTGTTATTATTAAAAAAAGGAGAAATTACTATTGAGTCACATGCAAGAACTGTAATTAGTCAAAAGTCCTATGAAATAGATAAATCAATTCTTAGTCCCGAAAGACATTGGTATAAATAATTGTTGAAAGTAAGGTAGGGATATAGTTATCGATTTTGGGCTGGTCTGATCAATTGTCTTTTGGGCCTAATGTTATTTTCTTTATTTTGCTTTCTTGGTTTCTTGCGGGACTTGCCTATATGAGGCATGTTTTAGTCCAGGTTAACCTATGAGATAGAGATCCCATATTTTCAATTCTGTACAAATCAGCCCACTGTGGCTTATTAAATAAAATTATCATTTTCCAATATTTTTCGTTTCTCTACATGTTACCAGAGCCGGATCTGTACCTTGACCCGTTTCGCTTTTCATCTTCGCCCAAAATCTCATCTCCTTCCATATCCACGTTTCATCATCTTCTCTGCCATAGTGTTCTTCTGATCCTTTGTCTTCGATCTCTTTGCCACCGCGCTCCTACTCTTATCTTCATTCCGGCATCGCATTACCGGCCATTATCTTTCTCTTCTTTCAAGATCTAACATGACAGAAATTGAAAGTTCACAATCATCTGCTTCCGCCATTGATCTAAATCACCCTCTTTACCTCCACCTGTCATACACCCAAGCGACGACCTTAGTGGTTCAGCCACTCATTGGTAGCACAAACTACGCCATCTAGAATCGAGCCATGAGGATGGCCCTCAGAGCAAAGAACAAGATCGGTCAGGTTGATGGACCAAAGTCAGTAGGATCGTTGTAATGCAGTCGTCTTATCTTGGTTGATCAACTCGGTCTCCAAAGAAATTGCTGCTAGTATCACCTTCTTAGAAAATGCAAAACACTGTGGAATGATCTACGCGAACGATTCGACATCACCGATGGGACAAAGACCTACAGCCTTCACCTCTTTATAAACACTCTGGATCAAGGAGGTATGTCAGTGTCAAGCTATTTTACAAGTTAACAGAACTTTAGGAAGAATACTCAACAATCGTCCCACTACGAGCCTGTAAATGTCATTCTTCAATTGAGTATGCCAAAATTGTCCAACAACAGAATCTCTTCAAGTTTCTTATGGGTCTTGATGACTCTTACCAGTCCATCCAAAGCCAAATATTACTCATGACAACACAAGAACTTCAGGAAGAACACTGACTAAATTTGTTAATTAAAATTTAATTCCCTTTTATGGCCAGCTTAGAAAAGTTTAACTGGAAAGCAGCAGCAGGGAAAGCTAAGATGATTGGAACCCTCACAGGAATTTGTGGGGCCATGCTTCTACATTCTACAAACGAGCACGAATCCCCACTCCCTCCTTCCACGTCATCGCTTTACATCCCCACAATAGCCACGTGGCATCTTCCCACTTTTCCTTCAGCTGTAACACCCCCTTGGGTGCACTCTATGCCTTGGGCGGTATCTGCTCTTTTTCGTTGTGGCTCATGGTTCAGGTCCCACATCATCCATTGCTCTAACACTCTCGTTTCGGTTCTTCATATTGTCGTTTGCCAAAAGTCACCATTTTTTTTTTTTGTATTGTACAGAGTGAGATGAGTGAGAAATATCCATGTCATTACTCAAGCACGACGTCATGAGTCTGTCAGCTTCAGTGCTTTCGATTGCCTTTGCTCTGTGCACTGAAAGAGATTGGGCTCAATGGAAATTAGGTTGGAGTATAAGGCTCTTAACTGTAGCTTATGCGGTGTGTTTATTCTTTGTTTTTCAGGAATCAATCTAATTATATTTACAACTCATCACACTGTCACACTTTAACGAAAGATTACAACTACATACAGTGTCATTGACTACTCTAATTTATTATGCGGGCTAGGGTATTAATTTATACTAACATCAATTATCATGCATACACGAATTTTAAAAACTAGATCGGATTAGCCGGTTGAACCAGTTGGACTGAGAACCAGCTTTAAGTCCAGTCCATCATAACTCAAAAAAACCAGCCTATACACAAGGGTAGAGTCAGAATTTAAGAATAATGGGGGCCGAGAATAAAAAACATATACTATATAAATTTTAAGGGGTCAAAAATATGTAACACTTATATAATATAAAAAAAATTTAAAAAATTGGGGGGGCCACGGCCCTTGCTAGCCCCCCCTCCGCCCCTGCCTATACAAAACCAGTCAGAGACAAAATGAACAAGTCAAAACTCAGAGACAAATTTTGTAAATTCAGGCAATACACTAATTAAATCTGATTTCTGTAGATAAAATGGAATCTAATTTACTATTTTAAGTTAAATCTAATTTTCACACACACACACAATCCAGTTACATACATTAATGTTTAAAATCAAATGTGTGGCTGGTTAATTATTGTGTGTATAGGGATTGGTGCCAGCCGGAGTGAATGTGGTGAAAGAGGGCCTTTGTTTGTATCAGTGTTCAATCCTCTCTTGCTTTTGTTTTTGGGTTTTTTTGGATCTTTCTTTATGGACGAGATGCTTCATCTTGGAAGGCATATATTTCTGCACCTTCAATATTATTGATAAATGATAATTTGAGACCAACTGAGAAGGATAATGATGTTTTGAGATTCAAAATTTTAAAATGTCTATTAAAAACTAAGTTCTTTACCCAACATTTATAAAAAGAGCAAGTCAATGGATAAAAATGTCTCAATTTAGATATATGTTGGAGATGGGAGATTCTGAAAATCCAAGATAGAAATCATGAAAACAAAACTTAGTTAAAATTATTTTTTTTATCAACAACAACAATTAGCTTCATCCTAATAAGTGAGGTCATCTTCATTAATCATACTACGCCAAAGTGTATTTAATGACACAAGCCCACCCACCCCAACAAGCATTGATTTTAATGAGAGTCATTATGATTAAACACGATGTTTCGAGATTATGTAAATGTAGAAAATATTTTTGAGAGAATTACCTCAATTAAGTTTGACAATGCTCAAATCTAGCCAAGTCAAGTAGGGCCATATATAAAAATACATAAAGCAAAAAGCGTCTTCCCTTCAAGGTCAATTATATGAATTGTGAAATTTGGATTCTAAAAAAAAATTAACATTTCATATAGAAATGTGTTATATTTTTTTTTTTGTATCACTTTGTTTCCAAATATGCCAATCTAAGTAGAGAATTAAGGTTGTTATTATTGTCATGCACTCATGCTAAATCAAGAAATAGCTAGTATGAATCTACTTCCTCCATTTCTATATATAAGAGAAAAAAAACTATATCACACAGTTTAAGAAGGTCGGTTAACTATAATAATTATATTTAAAAATAAAAAAGTGATTAAAATGCCATGTATTAATTAACATAAACACACATTAATTGTTTTTTTGCTCATGTAAATTATGAAAGGTGATTTAGGAAATGTGTAACAAATGTTTATTAAAATATATGATTTTGCTTATAAAAAAATATAAGTAAAAAAGGATAGTTTCTCTAACAATAAAAAATAAAGAGAATACCTTATATGAAATATAAGAAATGAGTCATATATAGTTCATTAATTTATAAATAATACAATGTTTTAGAGTATTTTACTTTTGATGTAATTTAATGATTTGGCTTATAAAGCTCAATTCCATTAGCTCCCAAATGACTATGCATGCCCCTAAGAGCCTAATTTCATTGGTTCCCATCAAAACTGCTATGCATACCCCTAAAAGCTCGATTACGCTGGCCTCCCATCAAAGCCTTGTGATGTAAGCCCCTAAAAGCCTAGTTCCGCTAGCTCCCATCAAAACCTTTGTTACATAGACCCTTAAAGTCCAGTTACACTAGCCTCCTATCAAAGCCTTGTGATGTAGGCCCTTAAAAGCCTAATTTCACTGACCTCCTATCAAAACCTTATGATGTAGGCCCTAAAAGCTTAGTTCTACTGGCCCTCATCAAAGCCTTGCTATGCAGGCCCTTAAAAGTCCAGTTATGCTAGCCCCCATCAAAGCCCTATGGCACAGGGCTCTAAAAGCTTAGTTTCGCTGACCTCCCATTAGAGCCTTGTTACGTAGGGCCTTAGAAGCCTAGTTACGTGGCCCTCCATTAAAGCCTCGCTATGTAGGTCCTTAAATGCCCTATTACACTACCCTCTTATCAAAGTCTTGTGACATAGGCCCCAAGGTTGGTTTTACCTACCTTTTTTTTCTTTTCTTTTCTTTTTCTTTCTTTTTCGTTGCTTCTTTCTATTCTTCCTTTCAGTTCCTTCCTTTTCTTTCCATTCACTTTTTCTCTTTTCCCCTAAGCATCAAGTAAAGAGGAGCATGGACACTGCATTTTGTCCAATCCTTCTTTAATGTTAGGACATCTTAATTTCATCTCTTATTGTTTCATTTGGCTGAAAAAAATACATGTTCTTATCTTTACTTAATTCTTAGGCAAGAATTTAAAACACATGTTCACTATCCTCACCTATGAAACAAGTAAAGATGGGCAATTGTAAACATCATATTTTGTCCATGCCCTAATAAACAAATAAGGTAACATCCATAATAAAATAATAAAAATGAAAAAATAAAAAATAGGGAAATAGGGAAACATTTTATAAAATAAATCTAAATAAAATAATAAGAGTGAAAATAGGAAAATATTTTATGACAAGAAAATAAATAAAAAAGTTAAAAGATCTTTGATTTGAAGATAATAAAAAAATGGCACAAATATAATCAAATTAAATCACGATTTAATAATGAGCT